TAGGACTCAAACTAAGGAAATGGTAAAATTGTTTTCAAAAAATAAAAGTTAAAAACCTTTGAGACTGGAAAAGAGAAGAGTGCAACGCGCGTTATCAGTCGAGCCAAGTGAGTAAGTTCCCCAATGTGTTAGCCATGTTATACTGATATTTGAGCTTTGATAATCGTATGGAAATTGATATGTGTATGCTTTTAAAATTGTATACGGTTAGGAGCTTATAGACTTAGAATGATTGATTTGGTCTTACTTCCTGTTCCTCGTTTGGTTGTGGTCCTAGGGTAGAATCTCTTATTCGAAAGTCTATTTGATCCTTTTCTGTGTATAATTTGCATGCATAAAGGCAACCTGATATGATTGATTTGTTTGATGTGGGTAGAGCAAATCTTAGGACAGCCTGGGATTTGAGATATGCGGTAGTCTGTGGAATATGATTTATTTTGGAAAGAATTGGAGTTATCAGGTAGAGCCTTGGGGAAAGGTACAGGTAGGTGTGGAAGGTATTGGGCCCGTACTAATGAAAGCACAAGACCTGTATCCGAACCAATGTTAAATCTGACAGCTCTAAGGAGGACCGGTGTGGGAAGATCCCCCTATATAGATATCCTGATTATTATGGTTTATGACATTTCAGTTCAGCATGATGGTGACACGATTTGGGACAGGGGGATCAGGATCTGGATCCGGATCGGGCAGCGGTGCCGAGCCCATTGATGAGAGGCTGCGCGAGATCATTGCAGTCGAGGTTACGAAGGGCATCCTTGACGCGACCCCAGTGATCTTTGGGACGGTCAAGGAGGGTATGATGGAGATCATGGAGGAGAGGCTCAGGTCATTCAGAGCCAAGATTTGTTGCAGGCCAGATCGGGGCCCGAACTCCCAATGATCTTTGGGACGGTCAAGGAGGGTGGATGTCACCTTCATGCGTGGCCCTAATTTTTTACTAAAAAACTTATCAGACACCCCATTTGCAACAATACAGCTCCAATTCCTTCTCCCGACGCGTCATCCTTGATTACAAATTGCTCTTCAAAATTTGGCAAGCATAATAGGGGTGTACTCGTCAATTGTTGCTTCAAGTGTTCAAATGCTTATTCTCACCGTCACCCCACTTGAACCTGTCTTTTGCAATAAATCAGTCAAAGACGAGGCTATAGTCGCATACCCCTTTATAAATTGACGGTAATCAAAGCACCAATTGATACGGTCAAGCTAAGTATATATGCACTCTTCAAGTGAGTGCTAACTCCAACAGAAACAAAAAGAAGAAAAGGATAACTAAGTCAAGCCAACTATGACTTGTACGTGCCATTCATTAAATACAAAAAGCTAACAAACACAATCCAAAACCAAATTCAAATAACTAAGTCTTATCCTACTAACATTCAAATACCACAATATCCTAACTTATTACTTTCTCATCACAAAGTCCTCATGCCACCTGGGCTTAGCTGGAACTCGGCCCGACCATCTCGCTCCCTCTAGTTTGGTGGTCACACCTCCTGGTGCCTTGCGTAATATCTTTTCTTTTTGTTCCGGCCACAAATTTATCTGTAATCATCCAATTTACAACATTTTAAGTGTCTTTTATCTTTAGTTATACCATTTAAGCTCCAAATATTAAGATAATTACCCTAAAATATGTGATTGAATATGACAATATCATCGACCATTTGGCGAATGATTAGGAGGCGATGGGATCCGAATACCCTTCCTTTTACTATGGTAACATAGTGTTTCTCCAAGGCAGATTCTTCTAATTTAAAGGTGTTCAAAAAAATGTTTTGTTGGAGTCATTATTACAACTTTTTGGGTTCTTTGGAACTTTCAGAACAAAACGATGTTTGGATCGGCCAAGCAGAAGAAAACAACTTTGTTTGATAATATTATTTCTTGATCTTATTTTTCGATTATTAATTGGAGCCATAAATGTAATATGAATCAGGTTGGTTGGTTTTACAGCCCAATATTGTTATTACATTTATATAATTGTTGTTTCTTTTTCTAACATCTAGCTTTATAAAAAATTTGTCGTTAAAGAAAAAGTCGCTCCAAATAATACATTTTAATATTTATTTTACGTTCTAACAAATACACTAGTTACTTTCAACAAACAACAAAGATGATGCTTAGAAACTCATTCACTCATACTATATTCTCATAAGTCGTAATAGTTTTCTAAGCTTTCCACCCTTGGTTGTAAAATAAATTAAAAAAAAAAACAAGTATCTTGATAAATGATTTAATATTTGATCTATATCATATATAAACTTGTTATACAATAAATTAAAACCCAACTTCCCAATCACTTCACATATATTCTATGTAGAAAAGGTGTCGGGTCATACAAAATGATTGGTACCAAACCAAATTCATTATCCAACCATTAGAAAAATACTTAGTAATTGCAATTAATCTAGAAAAGAGTGATTATCATTATACAATGCATTCTCTATATTTTTTATTTTTTTCTTTAGATATAAGAGAATACTGAAAATCAAATTAAACGAAACACAAATAAAGTTTCACATTTTCTAGCTTGTATCATAAGATGTATGTTTGATCATCCAATAAATACATGTTAATAATTTTACAACCTCTTTTTGTTGTTTTAATCTAACTTTACCATTTTTTGTTTATTAATAATAATCATTATTTGATATTTGTAACTTTAATTTTGATATATAGGTTTTCTTTCTCCTAATTAGACGATATTTTCACAAGAAAAAAAAAAAAGTTTTTAGGGAAAGAAACATAAATGTATTGATATTGTGTAACTACTTTACAAGATATATAATATGAGTGGTGGGTTCATGAATATTAAAGAATGAAAAGAGAGACAGCTAAACGCATAGAGGTTAGTAGGTCACTATCATACGCCCATTCATTCATTCTCATAACAACAAGACATTAATACCTTCTTCTTCTTTGTTTCTCACTAAACCATCTTAAGACACCCTTTGTCGTTTAGGGTTTTTTTCAAGGTTGTCAAGATCGAGATCCTACGTATGATTATCTTTAGGTTTGCAAGATCGGGGTCGGGATCCTAAGATCCCACAAAATAAAACATAATTTTAATTTATAATTTTAAAACATGAAAAATATTTCAAATATTCAATTTTTCGTTCAAAAATTATAAAAACTTCAAGATATTAGTTATAAGTTACAACACAAAATGATAAACGGTAAATTGATAAAGGGTAAAAGATGTAAAGTGGTAAAATAAAATTTGTTAGTGATTAGGGTTTAGATTAGGTTTCTTATGTATCCCCTCTTTATATGAGGTTTAATCTCACTATTTATCAATGAAACATTCTATTATATAACATGGTATTAGAGATCTAGGTTAATATCATACTGTTGACCACATCCTACGACCGCCTTACACCTCTGATGACCTTCTCTAATAGTTGTCGGAGGTGCCTTCATTATGCTTCATATTCCCGTCGTTTTTTTTCTCCTCATAAATAATACAATAGCCGCCGACACCAAGCTAGAGCTCTTACATCGGCTTCTTCTACTGCCTCGTTTGCTTATGTCTCCTCGTCGGATGGCTCCTGCCTCTAAGCTTTCTGCCTTCTCCTCAACTTGTCTCTTCTTCAGATCTATTTTCCGAGTCAGTCGGAATAGGCTCCGTCCGCCGCAGCTCGAGTTCTCTTTCTTTCTCGCTTCTTTTCTCTAGACTCCTCTGCCGCCGACTCGATGATCGCCGTCGTCGCCGCTCCTCTCTTCTTATACAAAGGAACTGCCGCTGGCCGCCGTTTCTTCTTTCTCCTTCTCCAACGAGCAGTTGTTGTTAGCCATCGTCGTTAGAGCTCTGCCACCGTCGCTGTCTTCATTTATGTTATGTTTTATGTTTTTGTTTTTCCAGTTTAATCGTCCCATCACCATCAAACTGCGGGGTGATGTTAGTGATTGGGGTTTAGGCCCAAGCCCTTTAGGGTTTAGATTAGGTTTCTTATATATCCCTCATTATATAAGGTTTAACCTCACTATTTATCAATGAAGCATTCTATTATATAACAAAATTCATTTGCAAAAATAAAAAAATAAAAAAATAATAAAAAAAATCAAGGGAAGGTATGATCGGATCAGATCTTAATCCTACGATCCTACCTACGATGTTACGATTCTACCTGCGATCTTACCCCAAATACAATCCGTTTACGACCCGACTCATTTTTCATATCTAGGATCGTAAGATCGTACACGATTTTGACAACCATGACTTTTTCTATTTTTCTTTTTCTCCTTAAACAATTTTATTATAAATTTATAAGCTTAGGGCCTTTTTTAAGTTTTCTTTTAATATTAGTTATTTATTATTTATACGATAAAATAAGGGCTGTGCTATAAGTACCCCCTTTAACCAATTTTACCCCCCCTAACATTAATCAAATCAACTTTTTACTTTTGATTTGACATTTTTTTTTCCTTTTTGTTTTTGATTTTTTTTCCTTTTATTTTATATTTTAATATTATTATTATTATTATTATTATAAATTTCAATAATCAAAAAAAATTCGGACAACATTTTAAATTTCGGATGACATTTTAAAATTCGGTAAACATTATAAATTCGCACGACATTATAAAATTCGAACGACTTTTTTGTCCGTAATTAAAAAATATAAAAAAATATTTAAAAACCGATTTTATATAGCCGTTTGAATTTATAATGTCGTCCGAATGTTAAAATTTTGTGCGAAAATAATAATAATAATAATAATAATAATAATAATAATAATAATAATAATAATAATCAAAATATAATAATAATAATAATAATAATAATAACTAGAAAAGTGTCCCCCGCTTTGCGGGGGTCAGAAGCCTTCAATGTCGTTTTTTCCCGAATCCTTAAATGTTGGTTTTTTCTTATAGTTAAATGGTATTACGTTTAATATTCATTAGTTTGATTACCACGTTTCTGTCAACCACAAAGTAAAAACTCAATTTCTTTTCAAAAGAAACTGGAAACCAAAGTTGAAATCACCATTCCATTAAAATTTCAAATTCTCAAAATGATAAACAGAAATAGGGCATAGGCATAATACCTCATCTGTTTATGAACCACATGTAATGAATCCATTAACAACAGATAAATGAGAAAATTAGAAGAATATTATCATCAAGAGAATATAGTAAATGTAATAACATAGCTTCTCATTAGTATGACCTTTAAAGGTTAACATGCAACTGTTGGCTGTGGTTGATGAACAACCAAATTTGGCTGGTTTATTGAGGTCCCAAAGCTTTAATGTCTTGTCCGTTGATGCACAAATTAGGGCTCCACGTAGAGTGAATAGCATATCTTCAAATTCCACTTCTTTTGTCAAGAAATCGACTCCTACTGTTGCCATGTATTGATTGCTAAACTTTTTGTTCGCATATCTAAAGTTGAACATTAAGGGCAAACAATAATAATCATCCTCAACAATAGATTCCCTGATCTTCAATGATCATATAGATTGATATAAATGTAAAATTACCCAACTATCTCAATAAAAAAAAAAACTGCTTATATAATTCCCAGATTCCAATACCTGAAGTTGCAATAATCAAATTTAAAACACCTTCTTCAGTTTTTGTATATAAACTTTTCAAGCTCTCAAAAGGAATATTTGGCATAGAAATATAGGCTGTAACTTTTTCCACCGAACCATAAAGTAGAATATGAATACATTCATTGATTAATCATTAATTATTATATAATATAATAGTAACCAATTAATTGTAAATATTAAAATAAAATGTTACTGACCTAAACAGAGAAACCTGAGGTAGGTTTTTCTCCACTGGATCAACCAAATACCTTCTCAACATTCCATCCCATCCATACCCTGATATCTAACAATAAAATTTAAAATAATACTAATATCATTAATTTCAAATAAAAGTATTTCTTTATTATTATTATAATTTATAAAGACATAATTTCAATTCAAACCTCATAAAAGTACCTGAGTAGTCAAAACGATAATCAAACCACAGAGGAAACTCAAACTCTGTCTATAATAACCTTTCATAACAGTAATGGCTCCAATCGAGTACACATCACCCCCAACCCTAACCACCTAATTCGAACCATAGCACAAACCAAGTTCTCCTATCAACGGCCAAAACAAAATCATTTAACATATGATTTAAAGCAAAATTAAAGAAAATAAACCTGTTCGATGGACATTTGTGCAGAATTTGAATGTGTAACATGTATTGTACTTTCGATGAATTTTTTTTAGCTGGAATTATTTTAGAAAAAGAAATGTTGTAGTTTTTGTACGAAATTGGAATTTTACGTTCTATTATTTATACCCGTAGGATCATCTTTTTTCTGATTTGTATCTACATCTTCGGTTATTTCTTTAACTGATTTATTTGAACCAAATTGATCATTCTCCTGGCCCTTAGCTGCTATATAAGCAACCCCCACATCTGGAACAATCCAATTCTATTTTTTGGCATTGCAAGAGTAGAAAAAAAAAAAAAAACATAAATGTATGATTTAGAGTTTTGGTTTAAATATTTAATGGTTAAATGTAGACTTTACCTCTGTTATGATTCTGTAGTGGCCATGACCAGATAAGCAGATCCGAAACCCCATTGTTATGTTTCAGAAAACCATCTCATTTAAAAAAAAAGAATAAAAATAAAAATAAATATTAATTATATGAGGAAATGAACATACCCTATTTCCCCTGCAAAATCCATTTGGTTGTCAATGATAACTCCTAATTGGAGAATGAAACCCACTAAAAATATTGTATCCTTTTTAAAACCTATCTCCAACCTAAATGAACGACATATATTTGAAATGTAATATAAAAATGCAAAATAACACTAACAGAGAAGGTAAAACCTGGCGTACTGGGTTTGTGGCGGTGGTACCGGTCGTCCTGGTTCCTTTTCCAGTAAGTTTTCACTTATTTCCAAGCTTTAATAGATGTATACTGAAAATAAACCAAACAAAATTGTAAAACCTGGCAACAAAAAAACACGAAGAAATGGGTAAAGTAGCAGACCTTTATTTCTATTTATATAAGGTTCTTTAGCCGAAGCCAGAGCTGATGTTATTATTTGAATGGAGAAATGAATTGTTAACATTATAACTTTGATCCTTTAGATGGATTAACAACAAAATCAGCATTGAATAAAATTGGTAACACCAATAATGCCTTTACAATAGAATAAACCGTTAACCTTTTATGGATGGATGTTAAGTCTTCATTCAATCACAATTACTGGAAACTGGTCATGACAACCTGTGACACTTAAGATACATCAAACAAATGAGAAAAAAAAAGTACAGATGGAAAAATAAAGACCTTTATGAGTTTTATGAATGCAATAAACAACTGCCAACCTTGGATTACAAATAATCACATAAGAAATAGATACATTCTTATGTGATTGACTCATTTCAAAGCCTTGAAAGGGTAAGTTTTTCATCCGTAAACAAAAGGTTCATGTTCTACAAAAAAAAAAAAAAAAGACAGATACCCTTTGTTAGAAAAGTGAAAGTTGGATTTCAAGTTAATATAATGATTCTTGGATTACAAATAATCACATAAGAAACAGATACATTCTTATGTGATTGACTCATTTCAAAGCCTTGAAAGGGTAAGTTTTTCATCCGTAAACAAAAGGTTCATGTTCTGCAAAAAAAAAGAAAAAAAAAGACAGATACCCTTTGTTAGAAAAGTGAAAGTTGGATTTCAAGTTAATATAATGATTCTTGAAGTATACATACCACCACCTGGAAGAACAAAGATTAGAAGCTTTGATTGAGTTGAAATGTTCTTTAAAGATTTAAACTTTGAATTGAGAAAGATACCTACACCAGGGTGGATGCGATCAATATCAATATTGTCATTCTTAATGCAACAGGTACCTAATTTAATAATCTTAAATACATTCTAAAAAAGGTACATTCTAAAAACAACATTTGACAACGAAAACTCGATATTACTATCAGTAATTTTAGCTATCAACACTACAATTATGATTTGGGGTTTTACGATTACTGTGGATAAAGAACATAAATGTGATTTTGGAGTCGACTTTGCTTAAGAGTACCTTCCGACACTTCAAGATTTTTGGTTTTTTAAATCCTGCTTCTGCATAAACATCCAAAATTAATAAAAGCAAATCTTAAAAGAAAGGTGTGAAGGGAGTGATGAACAACCGAGATTCACGAAATCAACAAAAAAAATGCAAAAATTAAAGAGTTGTATAACCGATGTTAGAGCAGGTTAAGATGGAAATACAAAATCAATCGTCGATGGAAACCAAACCGTATGAAACACCCTACATCGATGGTAGAACTACATAATGTTAAAGTCGTCGTCATCAGATCAACATGACGATAGCGTTAGATGTGGAAGCTGATGGTGGACATCGAAGCAATCGATTCGAAGCCCTAAACCCAGATGAAACGCGCTGCAAGATCTGTCGCTTCAGTGGCGGAGGAAGACGGCCAGCAGTTGCAGTCGATCCCGACCTTCGATCTTGCATTCGATCCTTTTCTGGCGCCTCAACCGTGCTGAAGGTCGTGTGTGAAGCAGAGAAGAGAAAATGAAAGGCGACAGAACTGTAGAAAAACGATGATAAGCGGTGGAAAGGCTGAGGCGGTGGATAACTGGGCGAAAGCAAGGAGGTGATAGAAGAGGAGACACTCACACAGAGGGTTGAGGAAGAATAAGATGAGGTGGTGGTTTCCTCGAACAGTGGAATGAGGAAGGATCCAGATGAAGCGGTGAATATACCGGATGAGGGGGTGGTAACCGATGAACAGTATCGTGGTTAGGTACTGTTTAAGGGACTAAATTGTAAAATCTGCACAATTGAAAATATAAAAACTTATGGACCAATTTTGCCAATCCTGTATGTAGTTTTTGTTACTATTTTTCATATCTTTAATATATATATAATAATAATAATAATAATAATTAAAAAAGAATTAAAAACAACAAAAAAACAAAATAGGAAAAAAAAACAAAAAAAAACAACAAAAGACAAAAAATCAAATCAATGGGAGTGGAATTGGAAAAGGAAGGGGGTACTTATAGAAAACCCCTAAAATAATTGAATGAGTAATTATATTTATCTGAATAGACTATTAGATATATAAATATGTTTTTTTTCCGCATTTAGTAAATTGTTTGGATAAAACTAAACAATCATTTTAAAATAAAAAAGAAAAAATCAAATTCCATAAGATCTATCAATTATAACATTAGAGGATTTGGGAGAAAAGAAAGAACTACAAATTGTTAGAAAGTTAGGTGGTAGGGTTTCTTTCTTTTTTTTAAAAAAAAAAAACATTTTATATAGCATTTCTATGTGTGGAACTCAGTGGAAGGACAGAAATATGTGAAAAACAACTGTTTGTTTACAATGTTTATCTTCTTTTTTTTTTGTGTGCTAAGATGTAAAAAATAGCTTATAAAGTTTGTCATCTTTTCATTGGGTTCTTTTTTTTCTTTTTTAATTTGTTTTTTTTTTGTCTTTTTCTTTTTGTTTTCTCTGATTTTTTTTGGAACGGCAGATATATTATTAAAAAACTAGCAAAAAGCTAGAAAATAATTACATCAAATTGTAGCAGATATTGGATTATGAAATCAAATTGTAGCAGATATAGGATTATGAAATCAAGAACTCCAATTGAGCTTGGTTTTCCTACATCTATTACTTATCCAGGAAAAAACCCTATACACCACATCATCAAGAAGTATAGCTTTTGAGGGATTATCCCAAAAAGTAAAACCATCGGGTCCTCGAGCTTTTGTGGAACCACAATTTCATACTGTCTTTTTGATCTCTTCGCGTGTAAAAGGAGATTGCAAAAAGTCAATCTGTGACTCTCGAAGTGTATTATAGTAACAAGCATCAATCTTGGCCCGCTAACTCTGATGCTCAGGAAATAAAGACTGATGATATGATAATAGGCATGGAATTCCTGCTTAACCCGAGGTGGGTTATCAACCCAAACACCATCAATCATAAGACCACGAATCGCAATTTGACGTCTATTGCGATAAATGACCCCATGAAAATAACCCGAATTCTCATCCCTCGCTATACACATTTGAATTTTCGCCTTCTGAGCCAGCTCCACCTGAGTAATGTGATTTAAATCTGACATCTCCTTCAATAAGGAAACCCGTTGCTCTCTTAAAGTAGCTGAGACATCGTTTCCCATCAACTGGTTATCAATAGACTCAATCAACTCTTGAAACCCTTTTCTTCTTATTAAGCACCAAATCCCACTTAGAATTCCACATCCTAAGATTAGATTTAAGAAGCTGAAGTTTCTTCTTAAAACGAATCCAGGGAAATCGCCCAAGAATCTTGCACTACATCATCAAAATCATCCATATCAAACCAAGAGTGAAATAAGCGAAAATGGGTAGACCCATAATCAACCCGATGCTCTAACAGAAGAATGGGACGATGATTCGGGATTTTTTTTCTCCAAAACTAGACCCCAGATGTGAGGGAACGAAAGTAATAGACCATCGGTAACCAAAAATCTATCAAGTTTGCTAAATTTTGAGCCTCATTTATCACTCTAAGTAAAACAAGGACCACCGAGAGGGATATTCACAAAATCAAGATGTTCAATGAATTCATTAAAAATATGTGCGGATGGATGGTTAAAGGAAGAACCTAGTCTCTATAGCAATATACCGGACTAGAAACAAGCACCCGTGTTTGAGAAATACAACCCGGATCCCAAATAGCTAGAATACCACCCGAAGCTCCACATGAAGGAGAAAAAGCATGCATAAAAGAGGCGTTACCCCAAAAAGATCTAACCGTAGCCAAGTTAATGTCTTCCATCTTCGTTTCTTGAATTGCTAGAAAATTGACTTTATGAATGTTACATAAGTTTCTAATCCAACTTTGCTTATCCATTGAACCACTCCTTGAACATTAATAGAAAGACAATTCATATTGGAAATTGTCTCTCAACGCATCCTTCTACAATTTTTTTAAAGCGGTCCAAACAACCCTCCATATTATATCCCAATGCCTCTCCCGTTTCAATAGTTGTTTTTAACTCAAATAGAAACAAATTATTAAAAGAACCATCCGAATTACTTTGATTGTTACCCATAAAAGAGTTTCTTTATTTTGAGAATCCCGGTGGGTGAGCAAGCTCTTCTTCGGAGTTGTTAATACCTGACATCCTCCCATAACCTTCAGAAAAACCAACACGCAACCTAGAGAAACAATCAGCATCAGCTGCAGAATTTATCTGTAAATTCAGCATCATTCACGAAGGTTTGCTGATCAGCGCTGCTTTCTGTCGGCTTTGCAGCAGAAGCTGCCGGCGAAGTGACAGGTGGCGGGGTGACCAAATTTGGCTGCTGCTGTGAACCAGGTGCTGGAATGCACCAAGTATCAGGAGAGAGAGAGAGAGAGATGGTCCTTTTTGATGTTCATGAGTTTGGGAGTTTTCCCCAAAATGCCCCTGAACTTTGTGTTTATCTTTCTTGGCAGCATTCCGATTTGAATTCTTTTTCAATTTGATTTGTCAAATTTGTTTTGGATTGTTGTTGTTTATTGGTTTGTGGTTTTTCTTTCCAATTTTTGTTTTAGATTGTCTGTTGTTATTTGTTGATTTTGTTTTGAATTGAAACATGTGTTTTATTGATTTTTGGAATGTGTTTTTGAAAATGATGATAGTGATGGCGGTGGTAATGACTAGTATAAAAAACAATCATTTTTATTCAAAAAAAAATTTGGTATTCATTTTCTGTAGATATGGAAAAAATACAAACATTTTACTTTTCAAAAACAAACACCGCTTTAATATCTTAATACTTTAAGCTAGGTTTTTGCTTAGCCCATCAAGCCAATTGGTCCAGATTAGGTCAATAAGAATAACCATATTAAAGTTTAACTAACCTATCAGCCATTTAGACCATCAAGTAAAAAAGAAACAAAACACAAACTTATGCCATTTGTCGATAACTTGTAACAACTAAAAACAAAATATAGAAAGAAAAAGAAAATTAAACACATTAGGAACTACTACTAGAATGTTTTTCTTGAGGCAAATATAATACAAGAGATAAGTATTATGTATACAATACAAGAGTCTAATAGTAATAGTGACGCAACAAAAGTAAAACGGAAGCTTATAAGATCCCTACAATTACAAATTGTTGTAAATGAAGATAGTTTAGAAAACACCCATCATTATTACTCTATCACTTGTACTTGTTCTCAAACACAAAGGGATCATAGACCAGATATTGTCGTTGACTTTGACTTTGACTTTGACTTAGTCAGCTGTCCAGCTCTGCTCAACAACTTCCCGCACTTTTCTGTTATACTCGCGCTTATTCTCACTAAACAGCCGTGCTGCTTCTGAGTTGGCTGGAGAGTTTGGGTTTGGATCACACAGCAACGACTACAATCCAACAATCAAAATTATTACATAAAGTCTGTTTCTTTTCTACACTAAATGACCATTTTGTCCTTACGTTCCACAAAAAGCTCATCAAATTGAGTTTCTACAAAAAGGGTCTGTGTCTTAATACATTAAGTCACATCTTTTGGCTTTAACACATTGAATCATTCTGTCCGGATTAAGTTTAAAAAAAAAAGCCATGTATAGTTGTCCAGATTAAGTGCTTAACACATTAAGCCAATAATAATACAACACCTGAATTGATGTGAGAATAGCAGCAACATCATAGATTGGACTCCACTGATTTTGAAGGATGTCCAAGCATATACTTCCATCTGCATAAACTGGTAGATAACAAAAACCTTATCATTAATAACACAAATATGTGAAAGCAAAATATATACTTTTAGGGTTTTTTTTTTTTTTGGTTTTCCCATCAAGTCATGTATGGGGTAAAGTGACTGAATGGGTAATGATGTGTACACAAAGTGCATTTCTTTTTTGAATTTGAGTAATTCACCATTTGATCCTTCTCATGTTTGAAACACAATATTAACATGCAACATTATTCAAGCTAGATAAATATCCCATTACAAAATCCAAACAAAAACACCCATGAATGCACCCAAACAGCATCATATCCCATTATGACATTTTGCACAGATTAAGTAAAAAAGAAACAGACATGTATAGCTGTCCAGAATAAATGCTTAACCCATTAAGTCAAAAAGAACAAGAAACAGCCCCTTACTTAGATGATAATATAGAAGCTTAAAGACCATATGGTTGATTTGTTTTTGAGAAATTTTGTATAGTATTCCTAGGTTCTTAATTTGGAAAATGTTGTATTTATGACAAGTTTGTGTCTAATTTTTGGCATAAGTGTTAGTAAAATTGAGGGGTGTTAAATCAAAGCTTCAAAGCTTTCATCCCATCCCCCACAAAAGAAAATGAAAGAAAATTGAATCAAGTTGATGATGACCACTTACTGTTTGGATGAAACATTCGAGAAATGAATCGCACTGTTGGTGGTTTATTTGGATAATCTTCAGAAAACTGAAGTGTCAGCTTGAACGTACCTGAGAGGTTGACATGTTACATGTATAAGTTGTCATAGAATACAATAATGTCACACTTCAACACGATAAAATTGTGCAGAATTCAGAAAAAATAACACCATCAACTGAATAATATAAGAATGTCTACAAACTCTATCAAACAAGCAATCAAAATCACTGTTCATATTACAAATAGCCAATGAAGAAACCCCTAGCTTCAAAGATGAGGTATAAATATGATCAAATGCAACATTATGAATCGTTACTTGAGGCCAACATCTTACGGGTTGTTTGATAAAACTGAACCATTTAGTGTTGAATGATTCCAGCCTCTTAATGGTTATGAAAGGGTTGGGTTCCTTAACCATTAAGAGGCTTTTAATACATTCAAAGGTCGTTCGGAGACAGATTCAGAAGTAGAAGTGACATGGGAATGGTTCCATTAAGAGGTTAGCAAACAGGCTCTTATACATGATTGATGAAGAAACAATTGAAGAGCTCAAATGCAGTCACTTCTAATCCTCTGTACTGTTCTTTTCCATGAGAAATTCAACTATTTTCACATGCATATACATATTTATAGTTTTATACAACCATGAGTGTTAATTCTTATCTCATTTTGAGCATAAAGATACTGAACCATGCAAAACATCTCATTTACCTCCATCCCAAGGAGTGTCATCCGGACTGCAATGCAAATAAAAGTGATCAGTAAGTAGCAATCATATCTCAAGCAAAAGTAGCATCATAAGCTACTAGAATATGATCAAAAAACACTGAAGCACACTTTCACCTACCCAAATATGACGGCATTCCAGAGCATTATATTGTTATCATATGGGGCACCACTGATTCCAGCAGGAGGATCTTGCTGCAACCTCTTAAAATCCCTCATTAATCTCTTTCTTGCCGGTGTGGACATCTTTGTCAGCTGCCCCAATTTAACAAACAATAAAGCCAATTCAGTATCGAATTCTACCAGAACCGATCAACTACCTAATACATATGAGTTTTATCCTTTGAAAGCTCAAAATTAAGAAGAAAAAAAATCAAGTACGATGATCAAACTACTTGTATTAAAACCCTAGATCTATAAAAATGAGTTTGATTACACAGCACCTAGCATGGTTTTTACCGAAAATCGACCGAGGAGAAAAAATTTAACATATTAAACGTATCAATTGATTCTAGGTCTCCGTTAATTAAGTTTTATGAGCGTAATTACATGACAATTGGAAGGATAAAGTGATGGAGAAAACTTGCTGCCTCGGAGATAGGACGAGAAGAGGTTGGGGTGCTGAAGACGGAAGTGAACCGGAAGACGATGATCAGCCGTCGGCGGTGGTATCGAGGAACCTTTGCCCTCCGTGCGTCGCCTTCCAAAACTCTACTCTCGATAACAAAAGGGAAAGGGAGGGGGAAAGAAAAAGGTTACGCGTCATATGTAAGCTGGTTTCAATTTGTTTTGTCTCTATGTTTGTAGATCGAAAATATCTCAAATTATTTTCTAACTATACGTATAATCGTTGTTATACGGGAATAAAATTTCATAATAATATTCACATATATTTGGGATAATAACACAAAAACAATTTGAAAAACCATAAAATCGTTTTTGTGTGTGTGAAAAAATATCTCCAAATCCATATTATATTCTATATTAACCTTATCCTTACTAAAATGTTTCAAACTTTATTCATCATTACTATTTTTACACTATAAAAATTAGATAAAATAGAATATAATTAGAATATTTTTTTTAGTATTAAGTATAATGTAATAGGTTGGAGAGAATTTAATCGTTGCACTATCTTTTATCTTTTGGCAAATAAATTTATATTAGTGGTTTAAGTTATAATCGTCAAGCTAAGATGTTAAAAGATTACATTAGGAAAGATTTAAGTTTGAAGGACTAAAATTGATAAATATATCAAACTTGAGGGCTAGATTTGAAAGTATTTTAGGTATTCTAGTTAAGAAGTTAGTAAATAGTCTTAAGGTTGTAACATACAAGTACAATTATAATCGATCATACCCCTTCATATCATAGCTTGAAAGTAGCTTTTTTTTCTTATTTTCTTTTTTATTCCATCATCTAGGATAGGATTTGTGAGATACTCCAAATATAAGTTCCCATGTTTAGCCTTTGTTAAGTTTATAATATTAATTTTCTTCCTTGATCATTCTCCGGACAACAACTTCCATCATAGATGTTTGTTTGGGGTTTTAATGACCGTCATATTTTTCAAACAAAAAAATCTTTTTAAAAACATAAATATAACATCTAGTTTCCATAAGAGAGAATATCAAGAGTTAATGCCACAAAACCATTCATAAAACAATGTATCGTAAACAACAAAAATCAAAACATAATCATCAACGATGTGCATGCAGTACAGTTAAGCTGGAGCCTTTCCCCGATCAGAGGAACTACCTGAAAAACATTAAATCAACAATTGTAAGTCAAAGCATAGTGAGTTCCCCCAAAATACCACATACCACAATACACATACAATGCATACAAACAAGCATTTTGGTTCTAGTGCCGATCCACTCGGTCAATGGCTCTCGGCTCCAGTACCGATCCATCATCAACCTTGGGTATCTAAGCTCTCAGCTCCAGTGGTGATCCATCATCAACCTTTGGTATCTAGGCTCTCAGCTCCAATGTCGATCCACCATCAACCCCTCAACATAATATATTGACATATCATATAATCAAACAGTCAAAAATCACACAATCAATAGGCAAAAAGACTATAATAGCCTACTTGCCTAATCAACATACTACATTACATCTACACTCTACCATACAGAGGATATATATATATATATATATATATATATATATATATATATATATTGTAACACATAGTATAGTGAGATAACTCACCTATATTGAAAACTGGAGAATCACGGCTACACATACGACCTCATAAGAAATAGTTTTACGAACTACCCAGACAACAATGAGGTCAAACCTCAATCTACAACTCAATCCTCAAAGTTTGACCAAAAGTCAACAATCACGGTCAACCGCATCGCGGCCAGCTCCTTGGTCGTGTCCCGAAAGCTAAAAGACAAAATAGTCATGACTCGCGTCGCACCAACCTAATGGTCACGTCGCTAATTTCGGCTATTCAAAAAAATTTTCCTTAATGTATTAATCCCTTAAGTCCAGAGCCTAAAACTTCAGATTTGATTCTTCTAATGGACTTAGTGGATAAAGATTCAAACTTTATCCATTTCATAACCAAAACAAGCTCAAAACTCAAACCCTAACTCTCTAGATGCTATTAAGGATAAAAACTTGTGCATGGTTCAAAATGAACCCAGACACACACCTTTTTCTAACATCTTAAGTCCAGAAATTACCATAAAATTGTCCTATGCTTCTAGAGTAGCTCATAATCCAAGAATAATCCTCAAAATGACCATATTGGACTACACATCATGAAACTTGAGTTAAAGAGTAATAAAGGTGAAAGCTTTATACCCTTTCAAGGTCCAGGAGGGGCTATCAATGCAAGATCTCAGCTGGAACAAGCTCTACAAGCACCAAGATCACATCCTTCTTCTCCAAATGGCACTCCAAGGTTAAAAAAATCATACACATACTAGAATACACACTTAAGGCTAAGATTTTTGTTACAAAGGGTTTGGAGCCTGAGAAAGCAAAGGTAACACCATTATATAGGGTCCAAGGTCGAGACCCAGGGTTTTGGGCTACGACGACTTCACATTGACCGTTGACTTTTGACTGTTGGCCATTGACCTTGATCATTGACTTTTGACAAGTTTTGACTTTTGGTCAAACTAAGGTTTTTTAGATTGTAGACTAAGGATTGGTCTCGAGTTGGTATTAGGTGGGTTGCATTAGTTGTATTGACTGTTGAGGGTTTCTAATTCTATTGAGGTTCCGTTGTTGGCTCAGGTGAGTTTTCTCACTATACTTCGTATGACATTGTGTATCCTTTGTATTTAGAATATAGTTATTGTTGGAGTACAAGTATGCTAATTGACTAGAATAATCCTTGTTATGTATGTAGTTGTATGACACTTGGTGTCATTGTATGCTATATTGGTAGGGTCTTGCTTATTGATTGTATGATATTGTTAGGTGTCATGACTGAATAAGGTAATGATAGTATTGGTAGATAATTGAGTAGATACCCCTAGGGGTCGTATGTAGTTTAAATGAGATAGCTTGAGAACTCTTGGTCTAAAACTTATTGCATGGTTCTTGTTCGATATATTGCTTTCGTTTAGGATCATCTGATCGGCTGTCTATCTTATTCCCTATTATGTATGACTACATATTTATAAGGAGATTTCTAGTATTAGCATTGACCTTGGTATGGAAATTATACGGACAAAATTTGATGGTTGCATGGCGGCTAAGAGTTAGTGGTAGTTGGTGGCTGAGAGCCAGTAATGGCGTGATGACAGAGTGCTAATGGTTGATACACATGGTTATTATGTATGTTGTTATGTATGTCGATAGGAAATAGGGGTAGAGCGACGCTAGAGCAAAGAGCTTTGCTTGTATCCATTGTGTGTATGGTGGAATATGTGATATATTGGGGAAATCACTAAGTTTTGATGTTTACGTTTGTTAAGTTTAATGTTTTTCAGGTTGTTCATGGGAAGGGTACTAAACGACCATACACTCGCATCGAGGAAAAGGGTTTTAAATGTTACTTGATTTCTGTTGTTTTGTAATTCAACTTTGTTTAACCCTCTGATTCTTAACAGTTAGATGTTACTTTATGTTTAAAAAAAATGTTTTAAATGTTTAACCTATTTTTAAATGAAAATTTTCAGTTTGAATTTTGGGACGTTACAAAAAGGAATAATTTGTAATGTTGAGATCCATCATGATCTTCGCAAAGACTTAATGGAAGATATTTGGACCGTTGACCACATCGATCTTAACGTTGAACCGGTCAATGATCTAGAAGGCTAATTTTCCGATGAAGATATCCTTTTAATTGTAGTAGCTATAATGTTTTAAGTTTTTATTTTTTGTAAGTGTTTAACTATTTATGTTTATACTTTTTTTTTGAAGTGTGTAAGGTTGTAAGACTTTAAGTTTTTTTAATAATTATTATTATAATTTTAATTTCTAGAAATTAAAAAAAAAATGTTAAACTTTAATTGATAAAAAGAATGGCAACCCAAACCTCCTAAATGACAGGATGTTGAAGAGATGTGAAAAACTGATGTGGCGTCTACGTGGCAAGAAATTTAGTGTGGCAAGAATGACATCACTCCCTCTAGCCTTATTGAAAACCAATTATGTGCACTGGCGTTCACCACTACCTCGTTTTCAGCGAGCCTGGTAACTCCCACGTCTTGTCTTTTTATTATCTCTTTCTTTCATCTATATTTTTTTTGAAACAGAAACAACCTCCACCCCTTTGATGGGGCCAAAAATGATCCGCCAAGAACACCATCGACCCTTCTCATGCGTTTGAGATCATAGAGTTTCCTTTAACTATTTCTATCTCTCATCCCTCTATAACCTCAACCAACATCGAGTAAACCCTAATCTCATCGTAGTCGAACTTGCACATCTTTATGTATCAACCATTATCCAATTGTATGGTGATGTAATAAAGGAGATGGAGGGGAAGGGGAACATAAGCTCTCGCTTTTTGTGGTTTGAAAGCATACTAGGCATTGTGGTGTTAAGATTTTGTTCACACAGAGGAGGAACAAGATGGTGGAAGAGAGTTGTTTCCAATGTTGCTCTTATTTTGTATTGGAGGAATGGGTGGGGAAAGCGATTGTTTCGTTGTAAGGGTAAGGCCTATGAAATGTAACATATAAAAACAAATAAAAGTAAAATATGGTAAATGTGATAGAGGGGTAATGTTGTCATTTTATAAATGAGTAATGACTTTTTTTTTAATGTCATACGTCTAAGGACTATCTGTATATGAAAAACAAACCTAAAGACGAATGGTTCAAGAAGAATAAACTTGGACTCAAGGTTCTCGGTTTATAGGGACCATTTAATGTCATTTAGTTTATATTTCATTTACATTTATAAGGACAATTTAATGTCATTATCCAATATATATTAATTACAAAGTGGGAATGTAATTAGCAAGTGTAAATGAATAAGAAAGACTTTAGGTTTCATAGTTTGGACACAATAGTTTTCTATATTGGCATTTTCAGTCCCTAGCCTTTTAGGTTTCAAAGGTTGGCCACAAGACTTTCGTATATTGACAAGTTTGATCTTTATACTTTCGTATATTGCCATGGTTTGCCTTGAGACTTTTTTAGTTTCACACTTTCGCCACATGTCTTTTATATATTGGCACTTTTAGTCTTTGCCTTTTAGGGTTTCAAACTTTGGATATAAGACTTTCGTATATTTGCATATTTACTCCCTAAAATTTCTTAGTTACACAAGTTTGGTCCCCCTCCCCCCTCCGCGAAATGGGAGTAGTAACTTACTTCTTTAGTCTAATATTAAAATATCACTAACTTTATTTAATAAAAAATGTTGTAATTTTTTTTAATTATTTATTGATCATATGTTAAAAAAAATAAGCCAAAACTGCAAAAATGGTTCCTGTGGTATGCATTTTTTCTGGGTTTTAGTCCAAACCCTAACTTGTTTGGATTGGTGGTCATTTTGAGATGGTTTGTTTGTGGTTTTGGTCCCTTGAAAAACTAAAAAGACTAAAATACCCTTTTATTTTTATTTTTACATTTTTTTAATATTTTGATAATTAAAAAAATAAAAGAGGGTCCCATTTCTCTCTCTCTCTCTCTCTCTCTCTCTCGTGAATCCCGAGCTATCTCTTCATCGCATACAAACATATGAAACTTCCCTATTCTTTCGATCTCCAACCTTCTCTCTTTATTTGTTCTATTTTTTAGATTACACATCAAGGTATTCTGGTCGTTTCCCCCCTGATTCGATTCAATCTTTGAGCATGGTGTAACAGCCCAAAACCAGGGTAAAATTTTTCATTTTTAATTAAGATTTACAATCATAAATTTGTTCGTAAAATACATTACATGAT